TTCCCGGGTCAGTTTGTGCCGGAAACCAAAAAAACCCAAAAAACTCCTAACAGTCATTGTTAATATTTCATTACCTCTAACAGGTCATGGTTCAAATGTGGTAATTCACTCATTTTTCATAAAAAATAATTTTAAAAAAGTTTATTTGTACATGTTTTAAATGTTTCACCATTACTTTTGAAAGCCCAACATATAAAGCACAATAGTTTTACACAACAATGAAACATATTTAAATTTAGTTTTACATACAAAAAAATTCACAATACAACAATATAACAAACAACAAACAAGGAGTCGTAATACAGTGATCCCTTATTTATCGTGGGGGGATAAGGTTCCAAAAATAACCAGCAAAGTAATCAGCTTTATATTTTACAATTATTATATCTGTTTTAAGGCTGTAAAACCCCTCACCACACACTTTATACACTTTTCTCAGACAGGACAGTTACAACCCTTTATGCATCCTTGTTAAAACTTATTGCTGCTGTCATCCTTGTGCTAATTCTTTATGTAAAAAAATGAAGATTCATTTATTATTATTCATTTTTCCTGCAGGGATCCATTTTTGGAGATCCACACCCGCACAGTACAGCACCACACCTGCCCGTTAACCCGTGATTATATCAAAGTTAAACCCAAACCCGCCAGGACCCGTCAACATTCCACCTGTTACCCGCCCATGATAAATCACACACAGATTAAAAACATTCTAAATGAAGCATCCATCAGAATAAGAACCTCCCCATGGAGGTAAACGCAGCCGTTGCCCAATTGCACTTTGTGGACACCCTGCTCCGCAGGTTCAGGGTTCTCGTGAGTCCAAGATTAGTCCTGGCCCTCCAAGCCACGTCAGTTGCTCCTCTCGATGTGGAGGAGCAGCAGCTCTACTCCGAGTTTCTCCCATGTGACTGAGCTCTTCACCCTGTGTCTAAGGGAGCGCCCAGCCACCCTGCGAAGGAAACTCATTTCAACCGCTTGTATGCATGATTTTCATCTTCTCCTTTCGGTCATTACCCAGAGCTCATGACCATTGATGAGGGTATGAACGAAGATTGACCGATAAATTGAGAGCTTCACCTTTCAGCTCAGCTCTCTCTTCCCCACAATGGTCCAATACAGCGACTGCATCACTGCCGACGCTGCACCGATCCACCTGTCAATCACACTATCCTAAATTTCAACACAATTTACTCATAAGAAACTTTTTTTCTGATACTTGATTGATACTGAAACATGATTTCAGTAAAACAACAGGAATAGAATTCCCCAGTGTGATGTTATGATTTTCACAAAATTTTAAATCTAAAAAATGGCCAAAATGGCAAAACAAGTGCACGTCTTTGCAGAAATCTTAAATGTAATGATCTTGAATGAGTCGTTTGACCCGTCATACGTACTTCATTTAAACTGCTTGACTCCTGGTATTCATGTTATGACATTGCCCTTAAGATCACATGGCGTTGCAGGAGCATGTGATCTGTGCACACATGTATTTGTCATATCACATTCATAACACTAATGACACAATCCCAGTGCTAGACATGACACATAATATGCATGTTTATCTAAGAGCTCAGTGCATTTCCAATCAGATGATACAAATCTAACCATGCCAAAATGTACAAGATTTAAAGTAGACACATTATTCACACCAAGGCAAACTTTTTACAGTTTTTAACCAGATTTTAACCATTGTAATTGTTGTCCCATCATCTACTCAAAGTTGTATTTAGAGTGATGTGATGCATGTTTGTCATCAAACTCCAGTCTTGTCTATGGAGTAAGAAAGCTTTCAGAAATACTTGTGTGCATAGAATAGAAATCCGTGCATATTTGGCTGTAGTTGCACATAAAATAAATATTTGTAAACTCTCGAATGAGTCCAGTCGTACATAAAATATATTGTGTGTATTTTATCCATCAGAATTTGAATTGAAATGTTACGACGTCAAGAATTACAAATCATGAAATGAAACTTTACGCGTTTATCAGTACGAATATAAATTCACTTTACTGTCAAAAATACATCATCACTTCACTGACATTATTTATCGAGCAGTAGAAACATCGATCCAGATCAAGACTGCTCATGCTTAAGTTTGTAGCAGAGGGAGAAAATGGAACAAAACAGCAACCAACAAGTGGGTTAATTAAAATTTATTGTAAAAATGTCTTGTCTTGCCACGCTGAGTTCGGGAACCGAACGCTGTTGTGTAATATTGTGTAGAAACACCTCCTCTGAATGGGAAATTGCACCTGTATCTTAGTAGATAACATAGTGGGGCCAGTTGGCGAACATCAGCAGTAACGTTATCCCAGGGCTAATTAGCAAATATTGATATTAATACAACTTCCAGCATCAATTAATGTTCGTGTTTACAAACAACACCTTGCTATGTATACAGTATTTACCAGTAAATATAACGTCACCGTGTCTTGGCGTGGATGGATGTGCTAGTTCATTATAACTCACATATAACCCATTGTCTGTAACCAGGACAGTTTGATCGTGTTTGGTGTAAACTGGGACATTTCAGCGTCCCAAGGAACTTTTGGTCTATGTGCACGAATGTTTCTGAAAGCTTTCCTACTCCATACTTGTTCCCTATAAGCAGCCATATCTGATACGCCACCTGCTGTTCTCCATGGAGATAAATAAATGTCTCTTCCTCTAAAATGAGTGTGTACGTGTTACTGCTTCATTCATTCCAATGAGCCATTTTCTGACATTGTCAGGCCTGCACAGTTAGAGACATGAGAGATATGTCCTCATTGGCTTTTTTGTTCATGTGATGTGGGGAATATGTGTCTATGACAAACTAATGTTTTCGTCCCAATGAACCAAAACCCATGTATTTCTATGACAAAAGGATGTTACCATGGTCACGTGATCAAGTTAAGTCATTTTATTTATAAAGCACATTTAAAAAGCTCCCAGGCCTCTGGTAGAGGACCCGAGCTGAATGAGGGTGAGAGAGACCTACCACCGTGGAAGGTGAGAAACACACATATATATATATATATATATATATATGTGGTCTGTATCTCCTCCTTTGGCCAGCTTTGACCATCATGGCAGGACAAACCCCTACATGGGGCGTACCACCGGAGCATAACTGAAGTGGCTGATATCAAGAAATCCTACCAATGGCTTGAGAGGGCTGGTCTGAAGGACAGCACAGAGGCACTGATCCTGGCTGCTCAGGAGCAGGCCCTGGGCACTCGAGCAATAGAGGCCCAGATCTACCACACCAGACAAGACCCACGGTGTAGACTGTGCAAAGAGGCTCCTGAGACAGTCCAGCACATAACTGCAGGGTGTAAGATGCTGGCAGGGAAAGCATACATGGAGCGACATAACCAAGTGGCGGGCATAGTGTACAGAAACATCTGTGCAGAGTACGGGCAGGAAACCCCAGGATCAAGGTGGGAAACACCTCCAAAGGTTGTGGAGAATGACCGAACCAAGATCCTGTGGGACTTCCAGATACAGACTGACAGAATGGTGATGGCGAACCAACCAGACATAGTGGTGGTGGATAAGAAACAGAGCAGAGCCGTGGTGGTGGACATCGCAATACCAAGCGATGGTAATATCAGGAAAAAGGAACACGAGAAGCTAGAGAAATACCAGGGGCTCAAGGAAGAGCTGGAGAGAGCCTGGAAAGTAAAGGCATCAGTGGTGCCTGTGGTGATCGGACACTCGGGGCTGTAACCCCCAAACTGGAAGAGTGGCTACAACAGATACCGGGAAAACAATGGACATCTCAGTCCAGAAAAGTGCAGTACTGGGAACAGCAAAGATACTGCGCAGAACTCTCAAGCTCCCAGGCCTCTGGTAGACGACCCGAGCTGAATGAGGGTGAGAGACCAACCACCGTGGAAGGTGAGAAACACATTTTTTTTTCATTCAACTCTTAAACTCTTGACTCTGAACTTCAAATGAACAGTTTGAAATGAAATGTATGTATAGTGAGTGTGTTGGTGTTCTGTACTTTTGTGTGATTGTTGTTGTACTTTTCTCTGTCCTGTAGATGATTTTACATCAACCTGCTGAGGAACTGAAGATGGAAATGAGCCACGCTGGCTATAAACTTTACATATTTACATTTTAAATCTTCATTAATATGTGTTGTCCATTTACAAATAAAAAAATAATAAGAAGAAATATTGGTGGTGGTGGATTAGCGGTAATGAATGGCACCAAGTCTGCTTTTGGATTTTTTTTTTTATTTTTTTTTATGGTTTCTCTTCAGTCTACTCTCTCTCTGCATCATTAACAGACTATTTAATGTTAATCGACAATACACAAACCTACAGTTTTGAATGAGTATGAAACTTTAATCATTCAAATTAAATCAAATAAAGAAAAAAAATGTAAATGTAAAAAGGCATTCATATGTTCATTAAAGTCCGGTTTAATTAATGTTACTTACTAACTTAGCTGCAGAAATCCACTTCTACCATCAATCTAGAGTTTTGTCAATCCAGTAAAAGGCACAGGCTTCCGTCTATCTTTGATAATGTGTGCCTCAACTGTGACCACTGCAAGTATGGGATTTGGAGGTGCATGCTGGGACTGCATGACGACAACTGAAGGAGCTCTATAGGCCCCATGAAAAGTTTTTAAAAATTAGAGATCATTGCGTTAAAATTTTTGAAACTGGCATCTTCACACATGATTGTTGTGTGTTTTTGTGCTCTGGCTGCAGTTTTAATTAGTCCTTCGCCAGGACTTTGTCCTGAAGAAATACCTTGGATGAGCTGTGAAATGTATCTGATCAAAAACTTTTGTCCACTTGACAGAATAGAATTTCTCCTTTGCTGTTAATAATTAATATTTTGCACCATATAAACCTGCATTACATTACAAATTAACAGTGACTCTAGTTTCCAGGAAGGCAGTGTCCCATGCAACAGGAGGAGCTAGTGAGTGTTATAAGTATGATGTGCATCATCCAAACCAAGTAAGTCTGTGTTAACAAGAGCTATCAATCATGGGTCTGCTGCTGCCTTTGCTTCTTGGTTTTCTTGCCTGTATTTTCAGTGGACTGTACATTCTGGGAGCTTTTAGACAAAGACGTCCAGGAGAGCCTCCTCTAGACAAAGGTTGGATGCCTTGGCTGGGTCATGTCCTGGAGTTCCGGAGGGACACTGCCAAATTTATACAGAGAATGAGACAAAAACATGGTGATGTTTTTACAGTACAGCTGGGTGGCTTTTATGTGACCTTTCTTCAAGACCCTTTGTCATTTGGAGCATTTGTCAAAGAAAACAGCAAAAAACTGAGCTTTGATGTATTTGCTAAACAGATAGTTATCAGAATGTTTGGCTACAAGGTTTCTAATAATGTTCACACCATCAAAGACACAGCGAGTCACCTCAGAGGTCACGGATTGGAGGCGCTGACAGAATCTATGATGAGTAATTTGCAGAATCTCATGCTGCACAATCTTGGCTCTGCTGCAAACCAAAAGACCTGGACAGAAGATGGACTTTTTAATTATTGCTACAGCATTTTGTTTAGAGCTGGTTACCTGTCTCTGTACGGCCACACAACATCAGAGACTGAAGGAGATGATGAGAAAGCCAAGGCTAAAGACAGAATCGAGTCAGAAGTCTTGTTTCATGAATTCTGCAAATACAACAAACTTGTTCCTAATTTACTTTATAATGTCCTAACCCCGACCCAAAGGAGAGAGGCTCTCAGACTGAAGCGTTACTTTTGGGATGCTCTGTCTGTTAAAAAAATTAGAAGCAAAGACAACATTAGTGGCTGGATCAAAGACATTTTAAACCTGCAAAAAGTGCAAGGTATACCAGAGATAATGACTGACAGATACATGTTTGTACTACTTTGGACATCTCAGGGCAACACTGGGCCTTCAGCGTTTTGGCTTCTCCTCTACCTTATGAAGGACCCAATTGCAATGGAGGCTTTGAGGAAAGAAGTAGATAAGGTCCTTAAGGAGTCTGGGCAGGAGGTCCGACCTGGTGGTCCTCCAGTCGATCTAACCTACGAAATGCTCATGAAAACACCAGTTTTAGACAGTGCTGTTGAAGAAACTCTTCGTCTTAAAGCAGCACCGCTCTTCACCAGACATGTCCTTCAAGATATGACCCTGGAAATGGCTGATGGTCGTCAGTTTTTTATCCGCAAAGGAGACCGCATGGCTGTTTTTCCCTACGTTTCTGTTCACATTGACCCTGAGATCCACCCTGACCCATACACCTTCAAGTACGACCGGTTCCTCACTCCAGAAGGTACAAAGAAAACAGCTTTCTACAAAGGAACACAGAGGGTCAAATACTACAGCATGCCTTGGGGGTCTGGGGTGTCCATGTGTCCTGGTCGCTTCTTTGCCACCAACGAGCTCAAGCAGTTTGTTTTTCTTATGCTGGTCTACTTCGACTTTGAGCTGATGAACCCAGATGAGAAGATACCACAAATCGACACCAGACGGTGGGGAACTGGAACCATGCACCCGGACAGAGAAGTTAAGTTTCGTTACAGACTTAGATATTAAATGCACAAAACTGCCATGATCTTTTTGCAGTTCATATTGTAAAAAGTAAAAATGGGCCAGAACATGCAGAACAAAATATATAACTTCTTTTATCAGAAATAAATAGTAGTTTGGTGCTTCGATTGTTCATTCTGTAAAAATGTGCAGTTTCTCAGTTTTTTTATGTGGATTTTTTTTATGTGTAAAACGTCAGTCATGCTCTCTGAAATCAGGGAAACTGGTAAATTTTTTTCAAAGCATGCAACTGGTTTACACAAATACATTAAAAGATTGGTTTGTTTTTTGATTACATTGTGGCACATCAAGAATCACTTTTCCCTTTTTATATTTTTGGTTATATGTTATAAGGCACGGGTTCCACAAGATGTTTTTTCACTGCTTTATGCTTTTAGCTGTGCAATAAATTTAGACAATTTTATCTGAACTTTTTCTTTTGGCTTGCATTATTTCATAGGAGCTCATATCTATATTCATTTTAAAACAACACAATACTAATGTTTAAACTTAGGATGAGTTCAGAAATCAATATTTGGTGGAATAACCCTGATTTTTAATCACAGTTTTCATGCGTGTTGACATGATCTCCACCAGTCTTTCACATTGTTCTTGGGTGACTTTATTCCACTCCTGGTGCAAGAATTCAAGTAGCTCAGCTTTGTTCGACGGCTTGTGACCGTCCATCTTCCTCTTGATCACATTCCAGAGGTTTTCAATGGGGTTCAGGTCTGGAGATTGGACTCGCCATGACAGGGTCTTGATCTGGTGGTCCTTCATCCACACCTTAATTGACCTCGCTGTGTGGCATGGAGCAATGTCCTGCTGGAAAAAACAATCCTCCGAGTTCCAATGGTTTCTCATTTTTATCCAGAGCTGTATACTGAGTAATTTTGTAGTCAAATTAGAAAGACCTAGACCTACATATCAATTAATATCACACCAGTATCTGATATGAATATTGGATCAGTGTGTAGCGGGTGGTGCCACAGGGTGTCGCTGCTGGGCCACACCCAGGCGGAATTTAAGGGGAAGTTGGCTGTGTGCCCGGGGGGGTGTCAGTTTCCATGGGTGGCCAGGTAGACCTCTGGACCCACGTGTGCGTGCGTTTGGCTGAAGATACAGGTGGGTTTTTAGGTGGTTTGTGTGTGAGTGTAAATGATACTGTGTTTTGAAAATTGATTGTTGTGTGTTAGGGCGGCCACGCTGTTTTTAAAAGAAATTTGAGCGGTGCTACGGGGAAGCTGTGTGTGGATGTACGACACAGGTAGCAGCATTTTAAATTGGTTTTAAATCATTAAAGTTTATCAAGTTGTCAGTTTTTTTGTAATTTGGGTTTTTTGTTTTTTGCAGTTGTTATTGTCCCTGCTGTCCTGTAGTTGTTTGTTTTTTCCGGTCACTTCTTTTTTTTCCCTTGAGCTTGTCCATTCATATTAAATAAATAACCTAAACTGCATCCCCGGCTCCGGACCTTTATTACCACGGCTGTAACATTTGGCGTTGCAGGCAGGATTCGGAGCCGTGCCGGATTACGGGGAAGTGACCGTCTTTGGAGGATTTTGTGTCGTCTTGGTAATTAGTTTAAGGACAGCAGGGGCAGTAGGTGCTGGTGACACCGGGGGGCCTTGGACACGTGAACGCAGTCATGGAGGCCGACGCAGAGAAGCAGGCCATGTCACGGCGCATCAGGAGCTGGAAAGCCAGCTGGCGGTGTTGCGAGCCGCTGGCACGGACCCGGAGGCTCCATTCACTTCCAGTGGAGCCACAGGCGGAGGAGCTGCGTCTCAAACCCCGCAGGCTTCCGTCGTGTATGTGCAGCAGGACAGAAAACTGCCACATTTCTCAGGGAAACCGAATAGTAGCGACTCATGGACTCTGGATGAGTGGATCGAACAAATAAGACATTTTGCACAATTAAGAGCTTGCACGGAAAAAGAGCGTGCGCAAATCGTGTTTGACCACCTGGAGGGCGCGGCGCGCACTGAGATAAAATTTCTACTGACAGAAGAGAGAGAATGTATGGCCTCAATCTTTAAGGTTTTGAAAGAGGTCTATGGATGTATGCACTCACATATTTCGTTACAGCGACGGTTCTATAACCGTAAACAACAAGAGGGTGAGTCCTTGATTGATTACTCTCATTCACTGATGGACTTGATGGACTTGATTGTTAAAACTGATGCTCAAGCTACCTCTACGGCTGCTTCTAAAGACTTGCGTGATCAATTTATTGACGGGATCAGAGATCAAGCCTTAAAAATAAGACTGAGAGACTTAGTTGATCTAAACCCTAACTGGACTATCCGTGAGGCCAGAGCTGAGGCCACTAAGTGGATGGCTCAGTATGGGGTGCTGTCTAAACCTAGAAGTAACGAATATAGCCTTGTCTCCAATGAAACTGTGGTGTCTTGTGAAGGTGTTACTGGGTCGTCTCAATATAGTGAACTGATGTCTCTTTTGAAAGCACAGCAAACTCAGCTGGATTTGGTTGTTAAAGCACTGGCACTGCAAAGTTTGCCTCCAGCTAGAGGGCGGTTCAGTAGGCCCAGACGAAGTGCTGATGGGAAGCCTATTTGTTTTAGGTGTGAGCAGAGTGGCCACATTGCACGTAATTGTCCAAACAACGTTCAGAATGAACCTAAAGACCATAATCAAACACAGTTCCCACCGGCGGGAAACTAGAGCCCGCCAGTGTGCAGAGCCACACATTGGTGGGGAGACAAATTGGCTCCAATATTAATGCTAATTCGGATTTTCCCAAACTTGTGGGGGAGTGTTTTGAGGCTGAGGTAGACTTTGCTGGGGTCAGTGTTCGTCGTCTATTAGACAGTGGGTCCATGGTCACCACGATTACAGAAAACTACTTCAATAACAACTTTTCTCATCTGTCGGACAAGGGTCTTAGGGATTGTGGTTGGCTGAGGCTAAAAGCTGCGAACGGTTTACAAATCCCATACCTCGGTTACATTGAACTAGACATGCATGTTTTGGGGGTGTCTCTTCCTCGCCGGGGTGTGTTGATTGTGAAAGACCCTTGTGATAGTTACATGCAACAGAAAAAAACAGCTGTACCTGGGGTGCTTGGTATGAATGTGTTTAACCCTCTGTATTCTGAACTACTGAGGCAATATGGCCCTGACCTCTGGGAGGCATCAGTCATCCGGGCTGCACCACCTGGACTGAGGAGAGTCCTGAGGTATTGCCAGGTGATGGAGGCCATGGCCAGCTCCCCAGACCCTCATCCAGTTAGAGTACAGGTTAAGAGGCCTTTATGTATTCCAGCTGGCAGTTTGAAGTATGTTCCTGTTACTTGCCCACAGGTGCCCTTACATCAGTCCATAGAGCTCATGGTGGAACCTCTTGGGCCTGAGCACACTGGTCTGCCTGAAGGTTTATTGATATCACCCTCTTTAGTCAAGGCAGAGCAGGGCCGGACCTTTGTGCCTGTCACTAATGTGGGTACGACAGATGTCTGGTTACCCCCGCGTAGGGTGATTGCCACTGTTCAAAAGGCTGAAGTTATAATCGGGGAGCAGGCGCAGATTCAGGTTTCTGTAGATTCACAAAGTTGTACAGCATTTATTGCTTCTCAGGAGGTGACAGGGGAAAGTGAGATTAATTTACCCGAGTTTGAAAATCTAGCTTTGGGAGATAGACTAAAAGCTAAGGCTCTTTTGGCAAAGTATAGCAGAGTTTTTGCACGAAATGATCTAGATGTGGGATGCACAGATCTTATTAAACATGAAATACCCTTGCTAGATGAGACTCCGGTGCGTCAGCCATATAGGCGGATTCCCCCCTCACAATATGAATTGGCCCGTAATCACATCCAACAGTTGCTGCAAAGTCAAATAATTCGGGAGAGCAGCAGTCCGTATTCCTCCCCAATAGTTCTGGTGCTTAAAAAAGATGGTTCATTGCGCATGTGCGTGGACTACAGGCTGTTAAATGCGAAGACCAGAAAAGATGCATTTCCTCTTCCAAGAATAGAGGAGTCGCTGGATGCTTTGGCTGGAGCCCAGTGGTTCTCCACATTAGATTTGGCTAGCGGCTACAGCCAAGTGGAGATGGCTGAAAGGGACAAGGCTAAGACAGCGTTTTGTACCCCTTTTGGTCTGTTTGAATTTAATCGCATGCCGTTTGGTCTGTGCAATGCGCCCAGTACGTTTCAGCGGCTCATGGAGCGTATTTTTGGGGACTGTCGCCACCAGTCAGTACTTTTGTACTTAGATGATGTGATAGTTTTTTCCTCCACTGTACAGCAGCACCTTGAACGGTTAGAACAAGTCTTTTCCCGGTTAGACACGCAGGGGTTGAAGGTAAAGCTCTCTAAATGTAATTTTTTTCAGAAACGTGTAAAGTACCTGGGCCATGTAGTCTCTGCCGATGGTGTTTCTACAGATCCTGACAAAGTGGCTGTAGTGCGGGAGTGGAAGCAACCCCAGAATCTGGCTGAGTTGAGATCATTTTTGGGGTTTGCTTCTTACTACCGAAGATTTATTGCAGGGTTTTCAAATATGGCTGGGCCACTGAATAGGTTGGATGCAAACCTTCTTCCCCCGGGTAGGAAGGGTAAAACTCCAAGAAAACCAGTAACTGAATGTTGGGACAGTGAATGCGAGGAAAGTTTTGCCAAATTGAAAAATGCCTTGATAACCACTCCTGTTCTTGCCTATGCAGATTTCCAGAGGCCATTTGTCCTGGAGGTAGATGCGAGCCATGGGGCTTTGGGCGCCGTCTTATCCCAAGAGCATGGGGGTAAGTTGAGACCCATTGCATTTGCAAGTAGGAGCTTAAAACCAACAGAGCGGAATATGAAAAACTATAGCTCTATGAAGCTTGAGCTGGTTGCGCTGAAATGGGCTGTTACTGAGAAGTTTAGAGAGTACTTGCTGGGAAATAGATGTACAGTATTTACAGATAACAACCCTCTGAGCCATTTGGGAACAGCGAAACTAGGTGCCGCAGAGCAGAGATGGGCCTCTGAGTTGGCTTCATTTGATCTGACTATTAAGTACCGCCCAGGTTCACAAAATGCAAACGCGGATGCACTGTCCCGCCTCCACTTGCTACCAGAGGAGGGGGACGACGGGTGTGGTGTACAGGCAGAAATGAGTGTATTGCCCAGCTTAGATTTGTCAGACCTCTCTGTGCTGCAGTCTCAGGACCCCACTATTGGCAGTTTTCTGAAATTTTGGGTAGAGGGCAGAATGCCAAATGCCAAAGAGAGAGAGATGCTTAATAAGGGCATGAGAGAGTTGGTTCGTCAGTGGGGCCGTATCAGAAAGAGGGAGTCAGCTGTACCGTTGGGTCCAAAAACCTGGTGGGGAGGGGGAGGTTCAGCAACTGGTGTTACCTCAGTGTTTACAGCAACGTGTCCTCCGCACTCTCCATGATGAACATGGCCACCAGGGGGTAGAACGCACTCTACAGCTGGTCCGCTCTAGGTACTATTGGCCAAATATGTACGGGGATGTAGAAAGGTGGTGTAAAAATTGTGAGAGGTGTGTGCTGTCCATAGCCCTACAGCCCAAAGTAAAGACCTATATGGGTTCAGTCAAAGCATCCCGGCCTCATGAGATCTTGGCCATAGATTTCACTGTGTTGGAACCATCGACAGATGGGAAGGAAAATGTTTTGGTTGTGACAGACGTTTTTTCAAAATATACCCAGACAGTGGCTACTAAAGACCAGCGGGCAAGTACAGTTGCAGAGGTCTTAGTGAAAAACTGGTTTCAGCTGTTTGGTCCCCCCAGTCGTATCCACTCGGATCAGGGGAGAAATTTTGAAAGTAGCCTTGTTCAACAGCTTTGTAGAATTTATAACATTGAAAAAAGCCGCACTACCCCTTACCACCCCCAAGGTAATGGTCAATGTGAGCGGTTCAATCGCACCTTACTGTGCACCAGTCCACTGGCAAGACCCCTTACTTTTTAATGTTTGGAAGGGAGCCGAGGTTACCGGTGGATTTTTTGGTGGAAAGGGAGCCAGAGGTAGACATTCCGTGGGAAGAGTGGGTAGAGGAGCACCAGAAATCTTTAACAGCAGCTTACGAGACTGTACAGAGGAGACTGGACAGTAAAAGGGTCCAGAGGGAGCAGAGGGAGCAGGGAGAGTCGATGGTGGCTGAATTCGAAGAGGGTGATCTGGTGTATACAAGGAACCATTCAGTCAGAGGGAGGAATAAAATTCAGGACTTTTGGGACCCTATGCCGTACCAGGTAGTCCATCCCCCCACCGCCAAGAGGTGTGGTATACTCTGTAGCCCCGGTTGGTCAGGAGGGCCCAGTACACCAGCTGCATAGGACTGAGCTGAGGAGTGTTCCTGGGAGTCTAGAGTTTAATAACCCGACTGGTCTCCATGCAAAGGATTTACCAAATAACATAACTGAGACAGACAGGACAGGCGAGGTGTCTGACAGCGAGTCAGTAATTGAGGGGAATGATGATGACACTGTGACAGTTTTATCTGTAAAAGATGAAGTGGCTTCTGGTGTTGAGTGTCTTCCAGACCGTCCTAAGGAAACTGGCACCTTAGTTTCTGGGCCTCGGAGAACAACAAGAAAGACGGCTGGACAGCATTCCAACCCATATAGGCTGCCACAACCTGTGCGCGGGTCTAAACCAGCGGTTTAGTTAAATTTGAGTGTTCCCTCCTTCTGTACATCGTCGGGTCGACGATGCTCATTGTTGGGGAGGGATGTAGCGGGTGGTGCCACAGGGTGTCGCTGCTGGGCCACACCCAGGCGGAATTTAAGGGGAAGTTGGCTGTGTGCCCGGGGGGTGTCAGTTTCCGTGGGTGGCCAGGTAGACCGCTGGACCCACGTGTGCGTGCGTTTGGCTGAAGATACGGGTGGGTTTTTAGATGGTTTGTGTGTGAGTGTAAATGAAACTGTGTTTTGAAAATTGATTGTTGTGTGTTAGATCGGCCACGCTGTTTTTAAAAGAAACTTGAGCGGTGCTACGGGGAAGCTGTGTGTGGATGTACGACACAGGTAGCAGCATTTTAAATTGGTTTTAAATCATTAAAGTTGATCAAGTTGTCAGTTTTTTGTAATTTGGGTTTTTTGTTTTTTGCAGTTGTTATTGTCCCTGCTGTCCTGCTGTCCTGTAGTTGTTTGTTTTTTTCCGGT